GCAAGTCCAGTCTTGTGAAACAATCCATCCCGTCACTCTAGCAAGATAGCAGCCAGCCTATTAAACACTGTGAGCTGCTATAATCTGCTCAGTGTTTGTATCAGCTCCACCTCTGTCCCTCACAGACACCGACTTCAGCAAGCGTGATGGAGAATGTGCAGAACTGTGGTCATGGTGACAAAGCTGTTGTCATGGTAATGAAGAGGTCAGGGTCTGGATGCTAGAGGTTAAAATCCTTAGATGATTTTTTTGCCTCTTGAGAAAACCAAGGACAAACTATGAACTCTGCATATTCTATGACTACCTCAAACTCAAAAAATTCATCAACTCACAGTTCAAAAGACAAACAGTCATCCCATCACTAATAAACACAACCCTACCCTACACGTCATGCACATTTGTCAACCATACTCGTTACACAAAATGCATTGTGTTCAAAGCGAAATGCATAATTTCTGCACCACCAGCATAAACTGGAATCATAAAAATATTTTTTAGGAAAAATCAGTTTTCCTTCTGCCCTACCTTTAACATTTGATATGATCCGAGGATAGCAAAAAGAACCAGAAAGGAAAAATACATATTTTAATAGAAAAACAAAATTGTACACATCATCCATTAGCTTTATCCTATTTAAACACTCAAGCTGCCTAAAAATGGTCTCCAAGTTACCATCCCATAATGTTCAGCAGGGGCCAGGCTCTTGTAATGGTGTCTCTACGCGTGCAGACATGTCAGTGCTGGAATGCAGCCACAAAGCCCTGTGCTGCCACAACCTCTTACAGCTGGAGCGGTCGCCATAGACACAGCAGGGTCACTGTGAGGGCAGCAGGTTAGAAAACACAAAACCTCACTAACTACATCAAGACACGCAAGCCAAAGTCAAAGCTGCGCTTCCCTCCTGGACCTGAACTCAAAGCACTCAAAGTGACAACACAAGCTATGAGTGGAGAGAGAAAACATGCGGGGGGAAAAACAACAACCCCGGAGGAGGTGGAGCACAAACTCAATTCCTCAGAGGTGCTGTAAAAAGCCAGAGGGCCTGAACCAAAACACACATGAAAAATGACTTGGCATGAGAACAGCATAAAAATGGCTGCGGTCTCCTGCTCTCAAGCTTGGTGACCTCCATACTGAGCCACTGTAGGCAACTAATCAGCAGGCTGCCAGCAGGCTGTGCTACAATCAGTATTTTGATACATCGTGACACATTCTCAATAATGTATATATTGCATCATGACATGTCATCCAGACTTGAGGTAGCAAACTCATTTCAGGTGGAGGGCCATGTGGGAGGAAAACATGTGGTCCAAATTACTTTGTTAAAAAGTGGTGTGCATGTACACATACTGAATGAAGCTTTTAAAGGTAATGAAGTTGGCATCAATCAATGTTCCCTCTAAGCTGCTCATGTACATGGCGGTGTACTTTTGAAGTTATTCCTGCACAAACGCTGCACAGAAGCCAACTCAAAATTATGGGGCGGAAAAAACTTGAGTTAAATGAATGAGTTAAATGAATATAATACATTTCAACTGTATGTCCGTATAGTTCAGTATAGAACTGAAGTTGAGCGAAATCATTTGTGGAAATGATTAATTCGTGACAGAATTAATTCATGAACAGTAGTAATTCATAAAGCTGAAATATAGACGTGCTTATATTCAAAACAACAACACTCTTACTTGTGTGATATTGCTTAATTATATATCATTAGTGGGGTTGTCACTAAAAATTATATTGGTAATTGAGTAAGCAGACAATTATGTTGATACATACTGATACATTTTTGCAAAAATTCATAAAAATAGACTTGAATAGGTGTGTTAAATGTCAAAATTGAAACCATACCGATACTGGTATCGGTATCGGGCCCGATACTGGTCTCCTGTACTCGTACTCGTTAAAATGCCCCGATACCAAACGCCGATACCACACAGCATGTGATAAGCACCATATTCAAACAAAGAAACACCAACAACGGAACAACAGACAGCACAAAGGAGTTAAGGATGTCTACTACGAAGTATATGTATGCAATGAATATAATGTTAAACATTCAGTATTAACGCCTGTATAGCTGATGTGAGCGAGCTGATAAACAAAGCACGCTGAGTGGATTGAGCGCGCGGCGGCACAGATGCGCGAGCTTGTCGAGTGAATATACCTTTCTCACAGACATCACTGGAAAGTTTGTAGTTCGGTCAGATATGTCAATAATCAGATTCAATGATCTATGCTAAGCTACAGCTAAAAGTGCTACCGCCAGACCCGGAGATCGGCTGAATGGATTCGAAAACGGTAAAACTCAACTGTTTAACTCTAGGGGAGTTGGAAAATGAGCCTATTTTCAAAAATAGTGGAGTGTTCCTTTAAACATAACATGAAAAAATATATGAAATCACTCTGAAAGTGCAAAATATCAGCCATTAGTAGGCCATTCTACCATATCATCTTCAAAACAACACAAACATTAACAAACACAGGCCAGCACTTATAAGAATCCTTTTCTTTTATAGGGCTGCGGTGAGTTTTGCAGTGCTATTATAACCTGTTTCTTTGGTTATTAAACAGGAGCCTAGTAACTCAGTCTGCTATTTGGCTCTCTGCAGTGGGAAAACAAAATCCAAAACCTCTGGGAGGCACACGCTGCTGGCTGAAAATGAAAAGGAAGACTGAATGGAAAAGCACTGTTAAAAGCAGGGAGGCAGATTGGATGGAGGGATTTGTGACAGGCCCCCAGTGTGTGACTCACAACAGGAGGAGGGCCCTTATGTTTCCTTTTGACATCCAGTGCCACCTATTTAATCTTATCTTCCTCCAATGTGGAAAGGAACGGATGATGAATTCAATAGAAGATCATTATTCTCCGCAGTATAAAAACACACTGTCCCAGCACACACACACACACACATACTTACACCTGCTGGCAAAAAGACCGCTACAGACGGACTTCCTACTGAGAGCACACAGAAGGGGGTGGGGAAACAATACACTGCATTTTTTAATTGGAAAAACCAATCTCTTCCTTGCAGTGCCTGACCATCAACAATTAGTAGAAAAACGTATATCTCAAACGGCCGTGTTGCTGTATGAAAAATGAATTTGCACTTTTACATTTTTCCAGAGCACAGTACAGTACACAAAACTTTAACGAGACTGCTCTGAATAAACCTGTCTGTTTCTGTATATGTTCTCAAGTTCATATGTACGAGCGTTTGTTTGGATTGAGACTTTAATTTGTTTGTGGCAAAATCTCTCTCTTTAAAGATCAAAACCAAAAGATGGCTACTTTCTAGGGCTAAAAGATAACCTCAATATTTTTTCTGTCTTGTGATGATTTTCAATATATTGATATGATTTCCATTCGATTGGAGGAACCATAATTTCAACCAAACTGCCATGGCTGCAAATCATATTCAAAATGTACAATGTGAGTAAAATATTGTAAAAATCTAGTTTAAAATGATCAAGGCATGTTTGGGATAAGAAAGATTTTTTTTTTTAAAGAAGTCTCTTATATTCTGGCTATATTTATTTGATCAAAAATACAGTAAAACAGTAATACTGTAAAATGTTTATATGAATATATGAAAATTTAATTTCTGTGTTGAATTTTTAGCAGCCATTACTGCAGTCTTCAGTGTCATATGATCCTTCATAAATCATTCTAATATGCTGATTTTGTGCTCAATTTGGTGCTTATTTAGTGTCGTATTATTATCAATGTTGAAAACATTAAGCAGTTGTGCTGCTTAATATTTTTGTGGAAATCCTTGATGAATAGAGAGTTTAAAATTATTAAAAATTATCACCCAGCCCTACTAGTTATCCAACAACTTTTGAAACACTAAATCTACCAACGCACTAATAAATGCATAAAAATGGCTGCATTGACAGCCAGGCCTTCAAGCAAAGGAAAGAAGACTTCACCTGTAAGTCACCCAGGGTAATCTATAAATGGTTGGCTACACAAACGACGGAACAGCACAGTCACACCGCTACCTCCCTGTCATGTCTGTGACAGCTACACAAATGCCCACCAGTTGATCTGCTGAACAACCTCATTCTGAGCTGCCTGAAAACACAGATGAACTCAGCTGAAAGAAAGAGAGAGGCACTACAGGATAGGGAAGGTTTATTTCTAATATAAGAGGTAGAGAGAACAGTCCTCTAATTGGAGATTCTGGCCAAAGAAATCTCTAAACAATGGTGCCTCAAAACAGCAAGCACTAAAGGTTTGGATTCGAGAGAGAAGAGTGCCAGCCAGGACGGCACCCTGCTGGGTAAAAGGACGTCCAGCAACTGAATGATCCTACAATAAGCAGAAGTGACAAAAGAACCATTTGGTACCACTGACACTACATGACACTCCAATATGGAGGATTAATGTTTTGATGGTCCATGCATGCAAAGCCTTCCTTCATACCGAACAATGCAGCCTGCTGGTATTTCGAGAAGGAGAGGGGAATAGGGGAGTTTGTCCAAGTATGGACTCAAAAAGATATGATTGTTTAATGGGGTCTATATGCACATTTTCACAAAACAATATGCTTAAAGGGATAGTTCACCCAAAAATGAAAATTTGATGTTTATCTGCTTACCCCCAGGACATCCAAGATGTAGGTGACTTTGTTTCTTCAGTAGAACACAAACAAAAACATACACAGACAAAACCAAATTAAACCCTGCGGCTCGTGACGATACATTGAGGTCTTAAAACATGAAACGATCGGTCTGTGCAAGAAACTGAACAGTATTTATATATTTTTTTTACCTCTGATCCACCGCAATGTCAGGTGAACTATCCCTTTAACAATCCAAATGAAATCTTAAACGCAAGCATGATTAATGCTCAACTCTTTATAAAAGCCATGAATTCTGGTACAGCCAGGTAAAGCAAATACATTAAGCTCAGAGACATGTCAAAAAGTTAAACATTAATTCCTGTGACAAATCCTACATATACCATCCTATATACATGTATATAGAAAACCCACCTGAGACTGAATTTCTCACAATGACAGAAGCGCAGTGTGGGCTGTGAAATGAAGAGGCTCTGGAAGAACATGAGTTTCCATTGTTAAATGGTCAGGAACAGCGACCTATTAAAACAAGAGACACTTTATAAGATTATATTGCTCAGAACAGCACTGTAACAATCACATTCACTACACGCAAAAGGGTTTACTGGCTTGATCTTTACAGCCCTTCAGTGACCTTATCAAAGACATTAATTACTTTTTTTTTTTTTTGTAGTTTTTACGTATTGTTTTTCCCAGACAGTGGTGTACTTTGCATGCAATGTTTGTTCTAGCTACCTGTCCTAGAAATTCCCACTTATGTGATAAGAGCACAAGCTAAGAACATGAAGAACTTTTTTTCAAGACTTGAATGATGTCACAAGTTCTCTCTGGGTAAGTATTGTTACACAAAAACAAAATAAAAATAAAATACAAAAAACGGTATTATATTAGGTGTTTTCGAGCTATAGAGAGCAGACGGCTCCTTATGCTTTCGAATCGCTCTCGCGGTACTTTGATGTCATACACTGATCGGTCTGCGCAGGACAGCTTCAAGTCGAACACACCTAAACCAGGTTTAAACCTACTCTGAAACTCAGAGTTTCAGGCCACTGGAGTCTCATGAAAAAAATAAACGTTTAATACAATTACTCTACGTGCTTCCTGAGTTTGTGTTTATAATTTTGTGGCATTCAGAGGCATTTAGCACTCATATTGTTTTTGAAAAACTCGGATTGGCATTTAACAATCAGTTTCATTTCACAGAAGTAAATCTTCTCAGGTCTGGCAGGGGACTGTACAAAGGAAACAGCCCAAGCTAACCACAGTGACAAGGCCTGCCTCTGTTAGCAATGCAAAAATGCTCAAAGCTCAATCACATCCCACGCTTTGTGAAAATGTTTTTTGTTGTTTTTTTTTTGTTTTTTTTATAAATTTCTCAAATGATTAGCGCATTAAATTATTCTCCCTCATAATCGGTTCTTGGAACGTTTTCAAAGCACATGGCACAACCCAGTTCGGTAGTGTATAAACAACCAAATGCATGCCAGATTATGCCTATCAATTACGCACTCATCACGTCCAATTAAAACATCTGGGATTAAGGGATTCATGATTATGATCTTAATCAATCCAAATAAAGCAGGTGACACCTGATGACCAAACAGCACAAATACACCATCAATCAAATAGTAAACGTGATGCAAATCCTTCAAATCCCTGGAAAATGAAGACAGCATGAGCATGGCATAGAAAATACGACTTTTCCTATTGTCATTCTCCACAACCTTGAATCTGCAATAATACAGTGCTCATTAATACAAGAGCTCATTAAACTTGGAAATGTATGCTTCAACTCTCAACATCAGAGAACAGCAGTCTCTACAGGTGCACAATCTGTAAATTAAAATCATGCCAAAAAAGCCCAGAGCCTGAATCGTGGTCCCCGCTCACCTCATTGTGCGCACACATACACACAAATTAGACACTGTTCAATGAGCACTCTGCATTTCTATAGGAGCCCGGCAAGTCCCATTTGTTTACATGGCACTAATTAAGTGTGCTTTACTGGAGGAGCAAAAGTGCCAACAATGAGTCCCTGTGTTGGGAATGAGGGAACGTCTCGGGTTCTGTTCGTCAGTCCTGCATTACACATCACAGCCATTACAAAAACATAAACGGTAATGAAAGCAAAAATGACCATTGCAAACAATTCATTAGTAGGGTTAGATTGGGGAAGATGCTCTCCTTAAGTAACAACAGGGTGATGATGAATATTCTATATTACTAATAAAGGAATTAAATGGAGACTTTTGCAAATTCGGATACATCACAAAATTAAAAATTATGAAAGGGAGTCATCTTGTCCTACGACTAAGTTAAACTTAACACATCTGACATTTGATTTTCGCAGAATGTTAAAAATGTCTGAAATAATAATTCTTTTGTGGAGGGAAAAAAACATGTGCAGGCCACTTTTATTATCCAAACATCACAGTGGGAAAAAAAAAAACAAGTGTTGCTACTATTTTTCTGAAATAAGTCACATTACGCAAGTAAAATGCATTACGAGTTCTGTTTCTGGTTGACTTTAACAAGCTGAGCAGTAAAGGACAATACATCTGCCCTTGTTATCTTTATATTGCACAAGAACTTTAAACATGTCAAGACTGTTTTCAGTGGACAGAGCAAAGGTTTCATCTTTGAGTGATAAGGATCTTAAAGTGCCCCTAATATGCAATTTTTAAGGTTCCTAATATTGTTTTGGGAGTCTCCTACAATAGGTTTATATGCATGCAAGGTCAAAAAATGCTTTCATTTTATCAAAATATGCCTTTAATATAACCTCATTTTCCAACAATTCTCAAATGATTCATTCGAGGCAGTTCTAAGATTCAGTGTCTCTAAACCCCTCCTTTTCGTGTGCCTGCTCTGATTGGTACAGCACGTGTCGGAAACGATTAGGGATGCAGCGATTAACCGGTTTCACGATTAACCGCACTTTAAAACGTCACGGTTAATTAATCGTAAAGGCTTCGCTACACGAAGAGTGTTTCTGTTGCACGGAACAGAACAGTTGCAACTTACGCAAAACGAAAACAAAGTTACACTAGCGGTGCACCATCTTAAAATGCCGTGCTTATCAGAGAAACGGAGGCTACTACACACACTAGATTAACTATGACAGAGGGACCAACAGCGAAGCTTTATTTCCACCAGGGAAATGACTGAAGTCGATAGTGTCGGAGCATTTTGGGTACACCACGAATGACCAGGGTGTCATTTAAATATTGCCGTAAAAAAACTGCTGCTAAAGAGTGAATGCATAAGGGAAAATACACGGCTAGCTGTGCATTGAACAATTTTAAAAACCAAAATCAATTGACGCGAAGCTACGGGCCGCTTCAGATCAGACAGAGATGAAATAGTGCGGTAAGATCACACTTATTTGAATTAATTAATTATAACATTTAGCTACTTGAATCAATTATTCGATCGATCGATCAAGAGAGAGAGAGGTGACAGTTGCGTGTGTGAAATAGTCTACCTGCGCGTCTCTCTACAAACAATGAAGCTCTGAGTTTAGTTACTTAAACAGCGATTTAACCTAGGGTGACCATACGTGCTATTTTTCCAGGACGCGTCCTGGCCAGGATTTGTTTTGGCTTTACAGACGGTTCCTTACGCTTTCAAAATGCTCTCGAGGTATTTTGATGTCAACACCGATCGGTCTGCACACGCAAACAAAGCAAAAACCTAGATATTTTAGGCAATATAGAAATCCTGGCCAGGACGCAAAATGGCACGTATGGTCACCCTAATTTAACCCCCTTGTTGATGATGAATATAATGTAGCGATTCAGTATCTAAGCCATTTTATTAAAAGTCGAAGGGCAGCGTTCACAACGTTTGTGAGATCTCCGATCTCACAGACATTATTTCCAGGCCACGTAGCCTACTACTACTACTACTACTAAAACGAAACAAACATAATTTTTTAAGGAATAATCACACAAAACATTTCTTCCATGTGTGATGAGTCGGCTGCCTCCCCCTAATTATCAGCATCACCCCGGCCCTTAATCGCAGCCCTTCGCCAGGCTCCCGACAGGATTGGTTGCGTGAGAGAGGAGGGGCGCTGAAATAGCCAGGGCAGGCCACGTGTAAAATCATACGAATCATTATAAATATTATTAAAATGAATACGTATGGATGACAGTTGATTACAATAATAGTTCAGTTTATTCCCCTCATTTAGTTTCTCCTGTGGGATAAATAAAATTAATATTAGTCTCATATTAATAATTAGGGGTGTGACGATATCCTCGCGGACGACGCGCAGACCTTTCAGATATATTTGCATTACACTGGCTCGTTACCTGAACCGAATGGAGCCTCATCGCCGCCGCTGTTTAAATGCCGAACGCGCCTCTCCTCGGGAGACCGGTCTCTTCCCCGTGCATGCACGCTGGTGTCCTCGTGGGTCCAGGAAGAGTGCGGAGAGGGACTCCCGTGCCGCCAGAGTCGTGATCTGCCGGACCCGGACCCGCACCTGTTACACGGCCGTCTGGCCAGGATGCCGGGCCATCTAGTCCCTTTGCACGCCGTGGGCAACGAGAAGGATGCAGCCGCTGGAAGAAGCCGCCGCGCCCCGGACTGGAGAGGGGAGCGCGTGCGGCCGCCGGACTCCGCCCCTTACCTGGACCCTTCCTTCCTGATCACTGCCCTTCCCTTCACGAACCCCGCAGCACGATGAGGACACCAGATCCCGTTTATTTTGGACACTTGATTCCCTGGACACTGTTTATTTTCTGTTAATAAAAGCCTCTCCGAGGCCTGACGCCACGACCCACTGGTCGTCCCGCCACACGTGTTTAAATTTTATTAGTAAATCCCCTTTGTTTGCCAAAAAATCCTGTTTGCTTAATTTTCAATAATTAAAAGATAAATGATAAATTAAATTTGTTTTATGCCTTCATTTGATAACCAGAAAAATGTAAATACACAACACAGAATTTCTGAGGGAAAATTCATAAGGCTACTTTAAGAAAAAAAAATTTAATAAATTAAGTTGTTTTATGCATTCAAATAGACATGCTAAATCACAGAATTTGGTAACAATAAAAAATATAAATAATATGGTGAGAACAAATAAAACATTTCATAGGGCAAACATTTACATTTTTGTTAAACTTTTAATAAATTGATATGAAAATGTATATGTTTAATGATTTTAATTCATTAGACATGCTTTTTAATTAATAAAATTTAATTTAACTACTAAAAAGGTGTCGAGAAAAATTTTAATGGAATTTGGAAAAAAAATAAAACTGAATTTAGGAAAAATAAAAAGGATTTCATAGGGCCCTAACTATCCCTCAGCCTTGCTTCCACTTTAAAGGGATATTTGTTTATTTATACTATTTATAATTTTTGTGCAATTACTTGCCTGTCAGTTGAGTTTGTGGCAAAACATTTTGCAGTGTTTACATATTGTTTATTACTGCATAAAATGTATTAAAATAGATGTTTAATTTCATAAAGTACAAGTTGATTTCAAAATGCACCTACTTTTTTGCATTTAGTGTTTTTCAGTTGAATAAAAGACAATTTTCCCCTATATATTTCATCATTGAGGATTTCTTTAAAAAAAAGTCAAAAAATCTAATCTCATCTCGTTCTCATGAACCCAGTCTCGTATCTCGTCTCGTGGGATAAGTGTCTCGTCACACCCCTATTAATAATGCTTCGTTAACATTGGTATTTATTATCCCTGTTTTATTCATGTCAAAAACCAACAAGATTTTTTTTTCACCATATTTCCAAGTTCTCTACCTCAGGTCCAAAAGAAATAAAGAATGTACAAAGTGAAAACACTAAATACTTTTTAATTAGTTATTTTCAAAAGGGAAATACTGTCATGGATGTTTACAGAGCAGAGGTGTCCCTTTTTTTAATTCCAATAGGAGAGATGACCTTTTGTTTGTCTTTATTATTATTAATTTGTGCTGTGGGCCTATTATTGGTTACTGTGTTGTTTCTGTTTCAAAAGGCAGCAATAAATAACACTTTAAAATCTAGAGTGTTCATGTGATTTTATACACTAGTAATGTTGTGAAATGAATAAATGCATAATAATAGTAATAATCGTTAAACCGTGATTATTCCTCAGACAATAATCGTACCAACAAAATCTATAATCGTTGCATCCCTATGCACCAGCATTCTGTATATTGCATTAGCTAATCCATAATAAAAGCGCTCTGGAGATCTGAGTGAGTTTGAGCGTCACAGATGCTATGAAATCCTCATTTAGTCAGAAAGGATGCCATGGCTTAAGTGTTCGTTTTTGGCCACCTTACCTGTAAATATCCTTATGAATTCCATTGACTAATAAAGGCATCTTGGGAGGCAGAGTGCTACTGTACTTAGATGAACTCCTGCCAACACTGCATTAACATGCAAGCAAGCAAGTGCAAGATGGAAGATGGAAACAAAAGATGTATCAAAATCACAGCTGTGGTTAGTCCACTCAAACAGCAAAAGAATGTCAAAGGCCACACACGCAAACATGCAAAGATCACTCCAGAGGCAACTCCCTCATTCTAGATCATCTTTTTTTCCTGTCAAACACGATCAGAATTTAATCGAGGTCAGTAACGAACAGAATAAAAATAAACGTGTCAAAATGACACTTCAGCAAAATGAGATTGTTATTTTCAGAAAGCAAACGGTTGTCGTGACGAGGTATTCGTCTTTTAGGCTGTACGCCAAAAGCAAGTGGAAAGTTCCGCTTGTAATGTTTCTTGTCAACGAACTGCTCTGAAATATTAGAGTGGAGAGGCGAAGAGTTTGACAAGAAGCGTTCGAGAGAGAGAAACTGGCATCAACGTTCAGAGCTGTTTTAATTGAATAGAATAACCTTCAGGCTAGGCGAAAGAAACAGGCACAAGGAGTCTTTTCAGAATGAAAATTATATTACCAGTTCTTATGACACCAAGATAGTAATATTGATTTACACAGTAATCTGAATACAACAATAGTATAATTTACAGATTGGTGGTTCAATTCTGGCCTTTTCTTTACCTTTGGGTGTGCAGACACTCTGCGCTTCTACCCCGCATTAATCTGTCTATCAAGATGACCTCACTGCAATTACCATGGAGATGGAGGACACATAGGAAAATAAACAAAAAAACAAAACAGACCAATAAACAAGCAAACATAAAAGAAAAAATGGGCACCAGTAAGTGAGTTAGAAGAGGAAGGGTAACAACCTTTAAAGCCAGAGCAATACACAAAGGTTAAAAAAGATGTGTCTTCCTGTACGATCATCTCTGTCCATACAAACCTTTCAGTGGTTTAATCCTTTCAAAAACACTCAGTCACATGTGGCTTGGCTTTAACCCACCTTCTAAAAATGGTGCAAGTCCTTTGTAGATTAGCAAGTCTCGAAAACGTAATTTCTCTTTCCAAAAACTGAACTTCTCTTTCCAAGAAACAGTATTTTTATGGAAGTAAATGAAGGCACATGGAAGTGATTATTCACAATAAGGCACACTTGTATACACTCGCTTGGGCCCGCACATTTCTATTTACCTGTCATCTCCGCAATCTCTCTCTTGCACACGGGCACGATCGTGGTAGCGTGTTGGGGAACGGGATCGCCGGCTGTGCTGGACCTCATCCAGACTCCTTAGAGAGAAAGACAGAGAGAAACCAGGGTTTTAATGCAGGTTACAATTATTTGGCAAATGATAAATCCTAACAATAGGTAGGGATGTACCTCTGTGCAGGGATGTTGGCTGGGCGGGACCGTCCCCTGCTCGCTTCGTCTCTGTGTGGGGACACGGACCGTGAGCGATACTGAGTTGGCCTGATCTGGTCTGGAACCTCTAATGTCGTTGCTCGGTCTCGGTCTCTGTCCCGTTCTCTTTCTCTTGATTGGTTTTCTGTAGCTGTGATGACACAAAGAAGAGGGGAGCGCGTGCGGCCGCCGGACTCCGCCCCTTACCTGGACCCTTCCTTCCTGATCACTGCCCTTCCCTTCACGAACCCCGCAGCACGATGAGGACACCAGATCCCGTTTATTTTGGACACTTGATTCCCTGGACACTGTTTATTTTCTGTTAATAAAAGCCTCTCCGAGGCCTGACGCCACGACCCACTGGTCGTCCCGCCACACGTGTTTAAATTTTATTAGTAAATCCCCTTTGTTTGCCAAAAAATCCTGTTTGCTTAATTTTCAATAATTAAAAGATAAATGATAAATTAAATATGCCTTATGCCTTCATTTGATAACCAGAAAAATGTAAATACACAACACAGAATTTCTGAGGGAAAATTCATAAGGCTACTTTAAGAAAAAAAAATTTAATAAATTAAGTTGTTTTATGCATTCAAATAGACATGCTAAATCACAGAATTTGGTAACAATAAAAAATATAAATAATATGGTGAGAACAAATAAAACATTTCATAGGGCAAACATTTACATTTTTGTTAAACTTTTAATAAATTGATATGAAAATGTATATGTTTAATGATTTTAATTCATTAGACATGCTTTTTAATTAATAAAATTTAATTTAACTACTAAAAAGGTGTCGAGAAAAATTTTAATGGAATTTGGAAAAAAAATAAAACTGAATTTAGGAAAAATAAAAAGGATTTCATAGGGCCCTAACTATCCCTCAGCCTTGCTTCCACTTTAAAGGGATATTTGTTTATTTATACTATTTATAATTTTTGTGCAATTACTTGCCTGTCAGTTGAGTTTGTGGCAAAACATTTTGCAGTGTTTACATATTGTTTATTACTGCATAAAATGTATTAAAATAGATGTTTAATTTCATAAAGTACACGTTGATTCCAAAATGCACCTACTTTTTTGCATTTAGTGTTTTTCAGTTGAATAAAAGACAATTTTCCCCTATATATTTCATCATTGAGGATTTCTTTAAAAAAAAGTCAAAAAATCTAATCTCATCTCGTTCTCATGAACCCAGTCTCGTATCTCGTCTCGTGGGATAAGTGTCTCGTCACACCCCTATTAATAATGCTTCGTTAACATTGGTATTTATTATCCCTGTTTTATTCATGTCAAAAACCAACAAGATTTTTTTTTCACCATATTTCCAAGTTCTCTACCTCAGGTCCAAAAGAAATAAAGAATGTACAAAGTGAAAACACTAAATACTTTTTAATTAGTTATTTTCAAAAGGGAAATACTGTCATCGATGTTTACAGAGCAGAGGTGTCCCTTTTTTTAATTCCAATAGGAGAGATGACCTTTTGTTTGTCTTTATTATTATTAATTTGTGCTGTGGGCCTATTATTGGTTACTGTGTTGTTTCTGTTTCAAAAGGCAGCAATAAATAACACTTTAAAATCTAGAGTGTTCATGTGATTTTATACACTAGTAATGTTGTGAAATGAATAAATGCATAATAATAGTAATAATCGTTAAACCGTGATTATTCCTCAGACAATAATCGTACCAACAAAATCTATAATCGTTGCATCCCTATGCACCAGCATTCTGTATATTGCATTAGCTAATCCATAATAAAAGCGCTCTGGAGATCTGAGTGAGTTTGAGCGTCACAGATGCTATAAAATCCTCATTAGTCAGAAAGGATGCCATGGCTTAAGTGTTCGTTTTTGTC